CAAAGATATTAGCATACTCAGTGAAAACCAGTTAGGGCTTAAGTTCAGGGGATAAAACTGGTACTCTTTTGTTAAAGCTGGTGTTAGTAAAGGCTGAGCAGAAAGGATCCTGGACACATTCCAGTGTGGCTGACATTTTAAAATTTCTGTGTGTGAATCCCATTCTGGCCACTTGCACATGTGAGAAACAGATCTCTTCTGGTCTGCAATTCTGTTTTTTAATGTGTGTAATTGTTATTTTATTGATTTTCTTGTGTTTTAAAGCTCCAAAGAGGGATTGGCTATAAAAACTCTCACTCGGACCTATATTTACAGTATTTTATTTGAATTTTTTTTTTCTTTTTTGCTTATTTTTCAAAGGGAATGCCCATGTGATTTCTGTCATCATTTACTGTATTTTCCTTTATTGTTGTAGATGAGTTTTAGATGAGTTATTGATTAAACTGAATCTCTTTAAGATTTTGTCAATAGAATGTTTCATTGAAAAACTTGAAACTTGAAAAACAATGCATGTGATTCAATGTTCCGATCGGTGTCTCAATGTTAGAGTCAAAACTGTTATCAAAACCAGCAATTTTAACCTCATGACCTCAATAAAGAAGTCAGAGGGATATTATAAGCAATTAGGATCTTCCTGTGATCATGAATGTCTACATAAAACTTTATTTATCCTGTATGTACTCATTATGTTTACAGCATCGATGAGACTGAGGTGTATATTCTTTCAAGTCCTTCCTTTTGGGAAGCACCTTCAGCAGATCATCTGCCTCCATCTTACCCTGTCCCATATCACACCAAACCTCTGTATGTCCTCTTTCACTACATCCATGGATCTTCTCTGTGATCTTCCTCTTTTGCTCCTGCCTGGCAGCTCCATCTTCATCATCCTTTGTCTGATATATCCACTACCTCTCATCAGCATATGCTCCATTCATCTCAGCCTCACCTCTCTGAATCTGAACTCCTGATTTTTAATCCTGTCCATCTCACTCCCTTCCAACGAACTGAACATCTTCAGCTCTACCACCTCATTTGCAAACCATACATCACAGCAGGTCTCACTACCATCTACCATCTCACTACTACAAACTTTCCTTTTAGCTCTTGCTGCTACCCTTCTGTCACAAAGCATCCCTCACACTTACCTTCACCCATTCCACCCTGCTTGGACTCTTCACCTTTCTTGTGCACTGTTTGTTGCTTTGGATGGGTGATCTCATATATTTAAACTCATCTGCCTTCAGTATCTCTGCTTGTTGCATTTTCACCTGTCCGTCTGTCTCCCTCTCATTCACACACACGTATTCTGTCTTCCTTTAACTGACTTTCATTACTCTTCTCTCCAGAGCATACCTCCACCTCTTCAGGCTCTCTTCCACCTGCTCCTTACTCTTGCTGGAAATGTTAATGTCATCTGCAGATATTATAGGTCACAGATACCTATCCCCACCTTGAACCCATCTGTCACTTGTACCAGGCACCTCGCCACTGCCTCTCCGTCCCCATACATGTCCTGGACCACCTTCACATACTTGTCTGTACCTCCTGACTTCCTCACATTGTCACAGTTCCTCTCTTGGTACTCTATCATGTCTGATATCCTCTGTACTTCATCAGTGCTCTCAAAGCAAACATCACATCTGTAGTGTTTTTTCTCAGCATGAGGACCACTGACCATCGCCTCTCTTGTTAACCTAGCTTCAACAAGTCTTTACTACATCTTCATGGTATGGCTCATCAGCTTTATCCCTCTGCAGTTACTACAACTCTGCACACTAGTCTTGTTCTTGACAATCTGTACTAGCACACTTCTTCTCCACTCCCCAGGCATCCCCCCACTCTTCACGATTTTGTTGAACAGACTAGTCAAAAAGTCCACTGCCCTCTCTCCCAGACATCCCTATACCTGCACAGGTATGTCATTTGGACCAACCTATTCTGTTCACATTTCTGAATTTCTGTGTAACTGTACACCGAGTTACCTGAGCGTATCTCTCGAGTGTATGTGTGAACGTATGTGAGTGGTAATGCTCCAGCAGCCTCTCTTGTAGGTAATTGTGGCAGAACTCGGACCAGCTGGCTCCTCTCTCCTCTGCTGAGTGTCGTGGGTTCCTCAGGCCTGGCGTGTCCACCACCATCACAGAGGCTAGCATCAGCTGCTGACTGCTCAGCGCCCTGCCCACAAAACACAGCTTGATTGAGTTTTACAGTTCTTTATATGTTTGTTATTCATTCATATATCTGATGCATGAATGTACAGTAGAGGGAAGGATGACCATGTGATAAGGCCCCCCTCAGTAGCGTGGTAATTACACAAAACAACAGGAAGCTGCTATAAGCACATGAAGCTAGAAACAGAAGCACAGATCAATGCATCAGACTGTCTGCAAACTTTGTAAATGGTACCCACAGATGTAGCTCGAGAAAAAGAAAGCAACATTAGCTCCTCTTATTTATTTCCCCTCATTTTCAACTCCAGGAGTACAAACATTTGGACTATTGTGTTCGAAGCCTTCCTTATAATCTCATATCGAGCCATTAGGCAACCCCTCAATGAAACGAGCAGTCTGTTTTAATGTTCTTTAAAAGCCAGCTGTCCTCTTACTGGCTGCTCTCAAAAATAGAAGGTTTTGAACAGTGGGCATTAGCGGTCCTGAGCCTGAAATCATCATATTAGGGATATCCCTTCTTTGTGACATCATACAGAGCCAAGAGTAGAAAAGTGATCAGAAATTGAGTTTTAAGACTTAGATTGATTGCAGGGATAATTTAGGCCATGTTTAATATAGTCTTCAATCACTGTAGCAGAAAATATATTAAAGATAATAAGAAAAAGCACAGTAAGCCATCGTAAAACAAAGTCTAAAGTCATGAAGCCTTGTTAGGCAGCAGTTATGAAGGCAGACTGAGAGCTTGTGATAAGGCTGTGGATCGTGTATTTAATGAGATGCATGCAGACCTGTTGATGAGTGACACGATGGCAGTGAAGAGCTCTTCATAAAGTCCAGCAGCCATTCCATTGAGGCACTGAGCAGCTGTTAGCCTCGGACCTACGCACAACAAAGTGAATAAGGACACACTTTTCTACTCGCGTTGTTTAATGTTCTCCTTTATCCGTAAAGGCTTTATCAGGATAAATCCACTCCTACAGCACGTTGTCCTTTCTCTAAAAATGCAACTCAAAGAAAATCTGGAACCTCTAAGAGATTAAAGCAGGTATCTTTATCCCTGCTTTTTGGGGCCTCTGATCTTTTTTTAGAAATTAAGCAGGGCTATGATAGCACTTTGGCTAAGTCTTGTGAGGCTTCGTGTCAGCTCTCACACTAGAAAGTCAACAAATGCTACAAGTAAAATATATGTAGGCACCCATTCAAAATTCAGAGCAACTGAATGTGTCTCCAATATCACACATCAGGTCACCCCTTCATTTAATTTTATTTGTCACTGATGACCTTTTGGTGATATTTGTCACATTCTGAGCAACAAACTGCTCTTGTGTTGTTGGGTAAATTATTCACGGACTAATCAGCTCTGCTGATCATATCTTTTGGCTGAAGGAAAGATGTTTGGGTGGTGGAAAGGCAATGAGGCTTACATGAGTAGCTTTAATTCTGTGAATTCTTTGCAGTGCTGATGTGTTATATTGTACTGACCACCAAAGATCCCGTTCTATAAACACCAGTTCATATACCAGATGGTGCCACACATTAGCCCTTGTAACAAGATGCTTGAAGTTCCCTCTAAACAATCGAAACTGTTGGAGAATAGTGAGCTGTGTTTAGTTGGAGTCCGCACTGATGGCCTTTATTGTTCAACATAGCAGTAAGCTGAATAATGAAATATCAAACAAATTATGAATGAAAAATTGTAACCACTAAAATATATTAATGAAGCAATCTCTCTATTCACTTCCATAAGCTTTGTTTTTTTTTTTGTAATGATCAGCTGAGATTGAAAGCACTGATAGTGTGCAACAGGATCCTCAAACACTCTCTAAACTTTCCGCTGCCGTTTTTCACATGCTGGCTTTAGTGTGCGCGCATCTCACCTTCCTCCGATTCTGCGGCACCGCTCCTCTCTCTGCTGCCCCCGGTGGCCCTCTGCAGAAGCTGTCGAAGGTGATGCTTGAATACTGCTGTGTGCAGATCATCACCTTCACATCCAAGCACACTGCTTGCCATCTGAGCACTGTCAAAGTTCATAAACTGCCTCCTGCCCACTGCACAACCAAAGGGAAAACTCAAAGAGGATGTGATTATGACAGCATGCACTGAACATTAGTGATGGTCGGCTCAGCAATGAGTGAGAAATTTAAAGTAACTGGATCGGAGGTGGAGTGTTAGCTCGACACTATCAAGCTTTCCTAAAGAGAATCACTCTGTGTCTTGGGGTCAGTGTCTTGTCCAACGCAGGGATCGAACGAGCAACCTTCCCATGGTTCTACCTCCTGAGCTACAGACAGGAGGTGTGTGTGTAGTGTGTGTGTGTGTGTGCAGTAACACTGTGTGACTCACAGTGAATCACTATGTTACCTTTACAGGCCCCAGCAGCTCCCAGATGGTAAATACCAGCCAGAACATGCCATATCGCCTTCTGCTCACCGGGTGAGAAGCCCAGTGTTTCCATGGCACTCAGCAGCTTTGTGAAAGCAATGGATGCACGCTGTTTCTCCTCCACCTAAGAACAGTAAGAAAGGGAGAGGGGACAGTCTGTCTTTTCTGTTTTTGACAGCCAGACAATTAAATGAGGTGAGGGAACAGCTGAGTCACATCTTTCCATCTTATCTCCAATCACAGTCTAACTCTTTTCCCATGTGGTTTGACCACTTCACTTTCTATGTTTTGGCTCATTTTTCCATTTATATTACCTCAGAGCCTCATACTCACACAAGCATGCTGGGCAAAGGGAAACCCAGAACTCTGAACTGAAGCAGAAGTGTTGGTCAATCTTCTAAATTAAAATTGTTCATTAACTGACTTCTGTCATTATGCCAAATGCAGCGACCCCATCCAAATACGTTTAGTGAACGCTTGTGACCCTATTTAGTTTTTCTCAGCTACCACACAAAGTACAGATTTATGATCTACAGAGATACAAAAGGGTTAGTTTTGTTGACTACCTTTGTGTTCCTCAGCAGCATTATCATATAGTACGAGTAGATATGAGCAGCCACATTGTGAGTGGGTGAAACCCCCGGCTGGGGCTATTCGCCAGCACTCATTTCAACTAGAAGGATTATTAATAGAACCACGGTTCTCTCAGGAGAGCCATTTCTCACTCTGTGCAGTCTACGCAAGCACAACGCCCCCCAGAGCCGGTGAGTTCCAAGCTGCAAGCTCAGCCTCAGGATATTTGGGGAGAAATAAAATTAATATTATTTATTATAATTATTGGTTTGATTTACTTTACTTGTTTTCCCATCTAGACAGTGCTGCATTTTATTTATTTGTTTTATGTAGGAGGGGAAGGAATATTTATGATTTCTTATTTCATGTTGAAGAACTTTGTTTCAGAAATTTAGACCCTTTTGAGAAAAATGCTGCATCTGCATCTCTTTGCCTTCTATTAACATTTCCTGTAGGTTTAAATATCTTGGGTAAATTCAGTACTTTCTCTTTCCTTTAATATCCACAGAGCAGTTCTTTACAGTTTTTTAAACAGGGACTGGACCAGCACACTAATGGTTCCCAATGCAAAGCAACACAAAGTAGTTCCATACATCAGAACACTTTCTGAACAGTAGCTGTCTCTGAGGCTGTGACCACAGCTGCAGCTGTGCTGTGACTATTCTGGCTCTGGCTGTTACACAGTGTACAGAACAGGTGACAGAAAAGCTCCCAAAAAGTGGAAAATATACAACGTTTAAAATTAGTTACTTGCTCTGCTGTAAAGACTTGATGGCATTAATGAAAAACACATGTTTAAAGCAGCATTCACGCAGCAGTGCCATCAGTTGTCATATATTACAGCAGTTCCAGAAATATTTGGTCTAAAGTCTGAAAGTGACTTCCATTTTAGAGGAAAAGGGAAAAACACAACTTTCTCCTGACTTCCTTTGTTTCTTCTTCTGATAATCAGCAAATACGCAAGGTCACTGTGAACGCTCGTCTTCCACAGAAAATCGTAAAATGTGAAGGCCAGATATTACAAATGAATATTTCCCAGTTGCCACTGAATATAGCATTACACCTGTGTTCATGCAAAACAGAACTGCCCTGTGCTGGACTTCTCCACTTACGGTTATGTTGCCTGTTATACCATGACGTGTGATATAGTGGTAAAAAAAAAAAAAGAGACCCTTCTGATGCACTTACTGTACCTTGGCGGGATGAACAATACCAAAGGAGTTGAATTCAGAGAGCTGGTGTAGCTGCAGTTCGATCCTAATATAGAATCAGAAATGGGAAAATAGGTTGTTATGTGGCAAACATACACCTTCAGCTGCTGCTGCTTCAGCAGGACCACAACTAGAACATAAGAAGTTATGAGGGCTTAAAAATTTGGGCAAAATGTGGACAAATTAAAAAAGTGACAGATTTGAGTCCAACCCTAAAATATATACTTTGAGGGCCAGTAATGTTCCATAATGTGAAGGTAAATTTCCCGTTGCGTCATTAAATATGTTGAATATATAGTGCAGTTCTTAAACAAATCTGCCTATTAACTTTTACTGGAGATTACCTCATCTCTGTGCTGAGTCCTGCCAGCATCTGAGAGAAGACCAGGAAGTTACTTTCTCCCTGAATTTTCTGGCACACTTTCCATTTGTCCAACATCAAGGTCTGAATGATGGAGAAGCAGGACAAAAAGGAGGGAAAGGAACAGAAGTCAAGAATCCCAAATTTACACAGCCATGTTTGACTAACTTACATGGGTTCGTGTCTGGGCTACATGCCTGTAGGTGTCCAGCAGCGGCTTGTCCAGCATGGTTAAAATCCAATGAGAAAACCATAGCAAATCGAGACGACGCATCACTGTGCTTAGAGCTCACACAGCCAAAAGACCTCAGGATAGTGAACATAGCCTGAACACGCTCCACTAGTGAAAGAAATAGCAATAATCACAGTAGGGAAGTGTGGACAGAAACTGGTGTCCTTATGAGAAAAAAAGAAAGCTGAGGAAAACAAGCTGAAGCAAACATTTCAGCAAAATGAACCTACAGGCTCGCTAAAAACAGGACACCCTCTATTACATCGACGGTTTTACCTCTCAGGACAGACTAAAAATAATCCTTCCTCAGCAGATTTTAAAATTACTTGAATGAACGTAACACATGACATATCACACATAGTTATACTCATAGTTTATTTAACAAAACACTACTTGCACCTCACAATTTAATAGCTTACATTAGCCGTATTAACTTGAAGTAATCTTTATTGTGTGATACTGTCAGTCTCTCACATCGTTACAGAGAAATTTTGATCCACAAACTCCCTGAAAGGTTATTTTTCATCATTTTTCTTACATGTTGATGTGTAAAAGCTAACGCCGTATATAACGTTTGTTGAATATAGTTTTGGGATTCATTTAAGATTCACAGTTGTAGCGACTCACTCACAATCACTGAAATGACAGACTACTACCAGTTTCAAGTTTTAGTGCTGATCATTAACACTTTAAAAACCTAAACAGTTTTCATTTTTACAACGCACGCTCACCACTCATGTTCTTTCCTGCTGTGCCAGCTTGTTTGATAAGAGCATGTGTGAAGGTCTGACATGCCGTGGTCTTGCCCGTCCCGCTGCGTCCCAATGCACACACACTGTGATCCCTTCTGGTGCCAACCATAGACATGTAGACCCGTTTGACCAGGGCAGCCAAGGCAGGAGGAGCATCCCACACAGATTCCCCTCGCCGTGACTTTGGGGTCTAATAGAGAAAAAAAAGAAGATAAACATAAAATGTTGCACATACTTAATAAGCTTTGTAGTTTCATAGGGTTACGGATCTGTAAATGTGTGTAAATTTTACCTTGCTGTGGGTCTGTAACGGGGGCCAGAAGTTGACCAGGTTTGGTCCTGCATGTGTCAGTGGAAGATTTGCTTTAGCTCGACTGGTCAGTGTGTGCAGAGCTCCACATTCATTCACGCTCTGCAGGTCACTCAGATCCTCACACAGGTCGAGCTCTGGTGGATTACACTGTGGAGGAACAGCATCTCCATTAATTGGTTCAAATGTGAAAGAGTTAGTCTCAGATTTCACACAGATTACACCCTGTGAAAACTGTTTTCTTCTGTCTTAGTGGAGATGCTTTATAAAGTTATTAAAAAATGCTGCCTTTTTAAAACTTTGATATCACTAATGTTATTGTTCTGGATTAAGATAAGATGACAAACCAAAATATGTTTATGTCTATACAAATTTTCAAACCATTTCAATTCAGCATCCTGAATGAAACAAAATGCTAATTAACCAAAAACTAAGATCATTTCAGTTTTTCAGTTTTGTTTATATAAATTAAATTATTATTTGAAATTATTCTTTCTTTCTCAGGATGTACCAAACTGTAGATTTTGCCGCTCCTAACATTGTAGCAGTTTTTTGGATGGTTTTTTTTTGTTTTTCAGTTTTCACCTGCATGGAGAGCTCCTTTTGTGTTGGTCCTGAGTCCTGTGACTCAGTGGTTTTGTTTATTAATATTCTTTGATTCAGTTAGTGTCTGGTTGTATTTTAGTGATTTTTAGATCTTGGATTTTGTTTCTTTGCCTCCCCTGTGTGACATGTTTTCTTGTCTATTCTCCCAGTCTCTATGTCGTGCATCTCCTGTGTCTTCTCCTGGTCAAGTCTACATCTCCATGTCTGTCTTGTGTCTCATGTCCTGTGTTCAGTGTTTTGAGTTTTGCTTCCCCCTATGGATTATTTCCCAGCAACTAAAGCTGCCACTTTAAGTATAAAGTGTCACACAGCCACACATGACAACTTTGGACACATGTTGTCTGTTTCACAGCAAAATCTTCCAAATGCAAGCACCACACCTCAAATCAACCCCAGCACTATTATCTGTTTAATTGAAAATGACATAACAAAGGAATTCCCCACACCTGCCCATGAAATAGGCTTCGACTCAATTGTCCAAATATTTTTGGTCCTTTTCAAAAGTGGCATATGTTAAGGAGCTGAAACTCCAAAACTCTTCATCCAATTTGAATAAATTGTAATCTTATGTCCCTTGAGACCTCCAGTAATTCTCCAGAACCACAAACTTCACTTGGTTCTTTTGAGGAACACCATCTGAACCTCACCATGCTGAACGTATTCTACTTCTCATTGGATTTGTGTTTTGGCTGCGGGAAATTGTTTCTTTACTGATCTTTTCCTGCCTTATGTCACTAGACTTGATATGACTGCGCTATGCTGTTGCTGCTGACTCCAGTAAATTCCACAAGACATGCTGTGTAAGTAAACACAAACAACAACAGTTTAGATGCACCTCTGCAAAGCACAGATGTGCTCTCTTATGTATTTAGGGAGAAGAGGTTTTTTTAACCTCTTACCTTAACATTCAAGACTGGTGAATGTCTTGAATGTTTTCCACTAGTTTTCCATTTGTGAGTAACATAGAATTATTTTTCTCAATGTAGAATGATGGACACCAGACTGTTTGGATATGGCCTTATAACCCTTCCAAGAAGCCTTTTCTGTCTTACCGCAAATGTGAGTAGCAAACTGTTAAATGAATGATGACAAGGTCCTGTCATATGTCCTATGTCCTGTGTTTTAGTTCATCTGAGGTTGCATGTACCCCAATTTAAAACCTACTGAGGACCAGATGATTTTGTATTCTTCCTGATATAATAATAATGGATTGCATTTATGTAGCACTTTTCTAGACACTCAAAGCACATTATAATTCCACTCTCACATTCACACACTGGTAGAGGAAAGCTACAGTTGTAGCCACAGCTGCCATATCACCCCATCGGCCCCTCTGGCCAACACCAGTAGGCGGTAGGGTGAAGTGTTTTGCCCAAGGACACAACGACCAGGACAGACAAAGCTGGGGATCGAACCGGCAACCTTCCAGTTACAAGATGAGCTTCCCAAACCAAAAAAAAGGGCACAATGAAAAATGCTTCATATAATGTTTGCAGGTTTTTTTAATCATATCCTTAAAAGACCATCCCCTTAAATTTCACATCACTGTAACATCACTGTAACAGGACTGGTATAAAAAACTTTAACTTTAAGCAAATGTGTGCTAAATCTCCAAATTTTAATGGAGATTTATGCATTACTCTCTGCTGATACATTTAAATGTTGACCTTTTTGTCATATGAAATTCTCATCAGGTTTGTTTCTTAAAGAAAGGGTTGTTGAAAGGTTTGCATTAGAAGCAAAGGACAAGTTGATGTGCAAACTCTTACATGACTTGGACAATAATAGAACCATGGATGGATGGACACTTCTAGTCTGATCTACCTTCTCAACTTCATACTCGGAGACATCATGCACTGAGCCGTCCGTCTCAAGCCGGACCCTCACCCGGCCCTCGGACAGCTCTGGTGTGCCTTCGTCTGGCTTCAGCTGAGTAGCTGAAAAGAGGAGAAATGAAGTTATGTCTTTGAAAGCACACGTACAGACACACTGTGAACTGAGGTGTGGAAATATCAAGGATCTTCAAGGCTACAATCAAGACTTGTTTTTTGTGCGAATGAGTCAGCAGTTATAGATCCATCCATGTGTAACTGTGGTTTCTGTTAGAGGTTAAATGTTCTTCAAAATGTACTTATAGCTAGCATGCATACTGTAGTGTGTGTTGTTTTCAATGCATACCACGGATGAAATCATCCTTGTCGACGTACCACACAGTTCCAGCTTCATACCACACATCCCTAACCTGAGACAAAGCAGCGTGAGAGGAACAAAGAGAAGAACAGTAACTCTTAAAGACTTTTTGGCTGCACAGTTTCTATAATGCATGATCATTTAAGCCATTTGCAGTGTGCCACAGCATTAAATACCCAGGCCAGCCAAGAGATATAATCTCTCCAGCGTGTCCTGAGTCTGCCCCGGGGCCTCACACAGGAGGTGCCCAGGAGAAATCCCTGTCAGATGCCCGAACCACCTCAACCTGCTCCTTTCAATGTGAAGGAGCAGCAGCTCTACTCTGAGCCCCTCTCAGATGGCCAAATTCCTCACCATATCTCCTGGGAGAAGCCAGCAACCTTTCTGAGGAAGTTTATTTCATCCATTTGTATCTCGTTCTTTCGGTCACTACCATAGTTTGTAACCATAGTTAAAGGTAGGTACGTAGATCAACTGGTAAATTGAGAGCTTTGCTTTTCCACTCAGCTCTCTCTTCACCACGACAGATCAACCATATGTACATTTTTTATAATTACTTATATAACTGTCACACTAGTTTCTTTCCTTTTGTTTAGGCTTTTCATCATATGTTGGACAGAACGACAGTGGATTAGGTAGTGAATTATATTGTCTGAGATTTAAAGATCTTAAAATGACTTAAATGTAACTTTTGTCTGTCTCCGTAAACATTTTGATTCCCACTATGCACATAGGTCAAACTACTGAAGTATGCAAATACAAAAAACCCCTAAAAGAACCTTTAGTTTTGGATTACTTTGTTGTTTCTCTATTGAATGGAATGGTAATATTTAATATCTACATAAATGGGCACTGTCACACCAGACAGTATGAAAGGTGGACGTAGCTACCATGACGTCACCTGTTGGTTTCAAATACTGTTCTGAAGATTTAAGATGAATGTTTATGCTGTTGCCATCATGGTTGCAAGAATCCAATGGTGAGCTCCAATAATCCATTTTGCTTTTAAAGGTTCTTAGCTGAGAGATGTGACCCAGAAATATCCATGTGGCAGCCATAAGAAGATCTAATCAAATTCTCTGAATACTAAGGAAAGGAGCATCAATGCTTCCTTTATTGCTTCCTTTAGCTTAGGAGGACCATCCGTTATGAAAGGAGATGAGAAATCACCGTCTCATAATTCATTGTGATGGATCATCCCACAATTCACAAAAACCATTGACATAATGACCAAAGTCCCCAGATCATCCAAATGTTAATTGTAACTGAATTTTCCATTTTATGCCATAACTGATGTAGTTTGAGTTTTTAACAACAGTTTGTTACACTCACATCTGAAATCTGACCATCACACTGGTGGAATAAAAACTACTTCTTGTTGAGTCTTTGCTTTGCATGAACAAAATATTATATAATAATTATTATTATAGAGGGCATATTATTTTGTTCATAGAAATAAACAGTTTGAAGGAAAGTAGCTGCACTGGATCACAGCAGGTAAATATAAGAAAATCTGATCTTTTAATTTCATATGCTACTAGACTTTACTAAGATGGGCAAATTATTGTGATATTGCGATAGCAGGGTGATCTGCAAACAATGTGCTGTATGTCAATAGGGGAGCACTGCAGAATTACTAAGGAAAAATAAAGCAGCATTAACTCAGGTTTCTCTTTAAAAACACCACAACAATTCAGATAAATTTGAGGAGACTAACGCTAACAAAGAAAAGTCACTCGCTGTGTGCGCACTGCTGAGAAAAAGATGCTCATTTCATGACTTGCAACTGACAAGTCATTAGCCATTGAGCAAACTGAAAACATCACAGCTAATCCTCCTGTGTCAAATACAGTATCATCAAAAACATATAAACTAAAACCCTACAAATTAGGTTTATTTTTATTCAGTATGATCCACAACGAGTAGAACAATGAACTAATCGCCATAGGTGTCGCCATCTAATGGCCTCCAGACAGAATGCAAGTTTAAGGCACTTCCCCACTGGCTTTACTTTTCCAACCACAAAGCCACATCCACTTTTTTTACTGTCTATGTCTCGTGAATGTCTCAACTAAGGCAGATGAGGGATCTGAATGCAGGGCATAAAGTAGATACATTTTTATTGGAATTTAAATGTTAGTTTTAAAAGGAAACGGTGTCACAAAAAGGGGAAAAAATCCATTAAAAATATTATTTTAATGTAGAAGAGTTTCCAAGTATTCTGCAGGCCTCAGACTATCTGTAAGACCGGATGACAAAAGCATACATACCTCCTTCCTGGCATTCTCTGTCACAGTTGTCTCTGTTTGCATTCCCTCTGGCTCCTGCCTCTCCTCCATCCCCTTCTCTTTCTCCTTCCCTTGCCCAAATTCCTCTATCCTCTCCTTCTTTGTATGCTCCTCCATATTTTTGCTCTTCTTTTCAGTCCTTCTGTCCCACTGTTGCAGTTTCTGCTTTGGGGGCTCTGGTGTTACGTCTGGTCTGGTTTCAGGTTTACCCCCAGAGTCAGGAGTCACTATGTGGCACTGAGATGAGGTCCTGCCATCTGGCTGTGCTGAGTTGCGTCCTTGAGGTTTGCTGTTGTCGCTGTTGTTGCTGAATTGCTCTGTCCGCAGGGACATTTCTGCCTCGAGGATTGGAGGAGTCTGATCTGGGAGGAGAAACTGTTGCACCAGGTTGTCACTCAGTTTGTTTGGCTGTAGTGGGAAGAAAAAAGTAACAGGCCTCCTTTGACTGTTAACTGAAGGTTGTGCATGCGTTGTACTTGTGTGTAGTAGTGCTACTGGAAATAGTGGGTGATGTGTCACAGTCTGCTGGTGCTTTTGTTGTGTCTTCAGTGTGAAGTCTATAGCTTTGATATTAAATGCTTCCAAGTGTTTGAACGATTAGCATTAGTAACAACATTAGTAAGCAAGTATTATTAGCTTAGCCAGCTAGCCACTATTTAGGTGACAAGCAGTTTATCTGCCTTAACAGGTAAGTTCAGTTCAGTTCATGTTTATTTCAAACATGTACATTCACAATCATTACAAAATATAATTCCATTCTTTTGTTTGAAAAGAGGTAGGCAGAAGTATATACTTATATGTCCCTAACCCCCTCAAGTTTTACCTCTCATTCATTTAATTCTTCTTTTTCTTTTAGTCTTAAATTAAACAAACAACATATGAAGCAAAAGTAAAGCAAAACAAAACAAACAAAAAACAAAACAAAAGATAAACAAGCCCCACCACAGTATAGTTACTTTCATATGAAAATAAATAAATGGTTACATTTGCACATTCACAAATTATGAAACAAACTAAACTAAAACACTATTACCAACAACATTACCATCCTGGGTTAACCCTGTTTTCATCATTCTTATATATATTTTTTAAATTAGTTTTTTATATTTTATTTTAAACTGGTTTGTTGTTACTGTCTTTTATTTCTTCTGTTAGACTGTTCCATAATTTCACTCCCGCTATTGAGATAGACATACTTTTTAAAGTTGTTCTAGCACATCTGCGAAACTCTGCAAATATCATTTATGTACATAATAAACATTTTTGGACCCAATACTGAACCTTGAGGTACTCCACAAGCAATATCCATCAAATTAGATTTATATTCATTCATTTGTACATATTGTTGCCTATTCCCTACATAGCCTTTTAACCAGTCCAAAACCACTCCCCTAAACCTGTACCTTTCCAGTTTTTTTAATCATGAAATTTTTAATAGAATTTCATGATTAACAGTATCAAACGCCTTCTTTAGATCTAAGAAAACTCCAACTCCTTTTATTATCCATACATTCTGTTATCTCTTCCATTAAATCTCTCAATGCCTAAGCTAGCAATAGCTAGAGAAAATAAGTTTTATCCAAAGAAGACCATCTGGCCCTTCACTGGCTGTCATTACATTACTGAGATTGTTTTCCCCAGCCTAGAGAAGTCTTGAATGACTTACTGGCCTTTCTTCTTTGACCTCTGGCTCTTTATATTTGGTCTCTTTCTCTGAATCTCTGACGAGCTGCTTGAGGAAACCACCTGGCAGAACTGACAGCGGCGGAGGTGGTACCGTTGTGACAATTGGCTTGTTTTCCTCCTTTATCTGTAGTTTGGTCCATTGATGATTCAGGCAGAACAAACAAAATAGAAAGTCATTGTATGGTTTGGATGCAGTGTGCAGTCCATTGGGCATGCACATTAGGCATGCACTGCATGCTCAGCAGAGAGTTAAACAAGTCAGATGCATACGTTGACAATGTATGACAAATGTGTTGGAAAGCGAAAGAGATTTCTTACAGTTCTTATCAAACACTTTATTTTGACCAACACTCAAACATGAGTTCATCAAAACTGCTCCACAGGGTTTAGAATAAATCCAAAAAGGGGAGGCAGTGTGTGGCACAGTGGATATAAATGAATGTGAGTCCTTTAAAGGCCTTTTTGTAATTAGCTTCCTTCAGCACTTTTAGCACCATGCAGGGTCATAAACAACTATGAGGTACCTAAGGCGTTGGAGGGTTTTTCAAATAAGAGAATGTGTGACAATCTAAACGGCTGTTAATTTGAGTAGGATAGAATAGAATAGGCCTTTATTGTCATTGTACATGTACAACAAAATTGTGGGTGCTCCGCACCAACTGTATGGAATAAAAGTAGAAATAGTAAGACAGCAGGAATAAATAACAGACAAGAGGAGTATATAAAAAAAGAAGAATGAAAACAAAACTGGAGGAAGACACACAATAGGAAGGTACACATCAGAGGACAGGTGCTTGAAAGTAGTGAAAATACTGGAATTCTAAAAAAGTTATGGCCTACTGGACTTGTGATTGGGATTTGTTTACAAAGTTAGATTGATGCCTGAGATGTGAGGATTTGGAATTGGTGTAGAGATGAGGAGTGAACCCGAGGCACAGAGAGGCAAGGCCTTCGAGTAAGCTGTTTTTTCCCTCGTGCTATTTTCATGTAGGTGAAGGAATCATTCTGTAATTTATAGACAGGTGTTCTGCAAAAGAGGGACGTTGTATGTCTGGTCTCGCACCAAAGGCATTTTGGTAAACGTGGTGCCACTATGCTGGATTGTTAAACTCCAAAAATCTGTCAAAAACATATTAATTTAAAGAAATTCTGTGAAATAGAAAATATTGCGAGCACATTGAGTCAATGAAAGGCATTGTGTTCAATGATGATAACAATTTTAAAAGCCTTTTATTATTTCCCCAGCTTTTACATGAGGTGGTGGCTTTGATGAATGGCATGAAGGGCTGAGAAGTACCAGCAGAAATGGGCCCACAGTCCTGACATTTAACTAATAGTTATCACCTGCTGACACAATAGGGACTATGGGAAAGGTCAGTGCATTCTGTGTGAAGCTACAGTGTGCGATCATGAAAAACTGTGGGAGGAGCTTCATTATACCTTTCAGCAGCAGTCAAGAGTAATGCATTACCCATACCATGTACCAAATCTGGTCATAATGCAAACTTTAGACTGGGATACACATTAGTGTGCTTGACAAAGCTTTTTATGAGATTCAAAATTGGACGACTAACCAGTGAAAATGTGCCAGCTTTGTAAAACCCTGCAGTTGGCATGAACTTGTGACTGCATTAGTATAGATTTGAGCAGAGGTTCCATGGATGGTTTAAACCTATATCTTCTCTTTAAAGATAAGAAACCCTCTAGTTCTACTTCTAAACTAAATAAAACTGAATATTAGCTTTATGTCAAGCTAATCCAAGAGTAAAACCCCCCAGACAGTTACAGTAACTTCAGAAGATGTCACAACTGTTTCTCTGTCAGCACCAGATCTGAAATAATACAGCTACATTCAGCTACAATAATAGAGGTACAGTTTATGAGCTTCAACAGAAAAGCCGAGCATCAGCTGCTCAGGCATTAGAGTGATTTCATACACTTGTTCCTGTTTTGGGTGTTTATTTGACACAGAAGCACGGACAAGTGTGGGTCATTTCTTTATTAAACCTTTAAGAAATTAAGCAGATAAAAGGCCTCAAGTTGATTTCAAATGCAGCTTTTAAAGGTTTTTACTGCATGGAGCAAGAACATTAGGAGGGGCAGAATCTGAGAAAAAATTTATTTTCATGTTGCCCAGTATTCAATGTCATTTGCAAACTTGCACAGTAATTAAGGGACTGTGCTTAAAATGACAGCGATTCTTAATCTAATTATGTATACTGTAATAACATATTAGTCACATGAAACATGTTACTGTGCTTTGGTTAAAACCCTTGTGTATGCAATGCAGTGTCAGTTAACCAATACTGTAATCAGTTTGATATCTGATGCCTTCCATTTGTCTTGCTGTGCTCCACAATGTAGTTACATTAACAGTATTTTCCCAGTGACAGTGTGAAAATCCACTAGCATGTATGAATCTCTTCAGAGATTTGACATCCTATGAGATGGTATCATGTGTACGACCAGGTGTATGAGGGGTCACATCAAAAGGACAGCATGTATTTTCATTACCCAGCAGAAGAATACTCTCCTTCCGTGTTTTTGCCAGGATATTGTAACACATTTAAAATCCAGTCTGAAAAACAGTTTCCAGTTATCACTGTCTCCTACTTTCCTTTTGTATGAACTGTGGGGAAAGACTTTGTAGCTTGTCGGTGATCAGCTGGGACATACAATTTCGTTTTTTTCTGTAAGGATTTCCACTAATGGTGTTGTTAGCTGGAGTCACTGAGCATAAAAATATCTGTACAATCAACCTGAAAAAAGGCTGAAAAATGGAGGCTAATCTCGAGGCTTCAAAATGGATAAAAAAAAAAAAAAACAACCCCAAAAAACCTAAACTTAAGCATGACCATCTTTTATGTACAGTCTTTCGGTAGCATGTGATAAGCAGAATGAACTGAGTGATGAAACTGCCATATAAGGCTGAGTGTTTTGTATCTCAACAGAAATATCAGTATCAGCAGATTCAGATCGCAAATGTCAAGTGACAGCATGGGGCTGTAAAAAGCTCAAACACTGAACATGCAAAATGACTAATACACCAACCACAGCAGTGACATGCTACAATGACTCAGGGTTAGAACAGAGGAACACTCACTATGTGATCAGTGCACTACACACACACCCACACACACATGTGTGCAGTCACAACCAGCTATTAGAGTTAATGCAGCACACAGCATTTCTGCACCTCCCTTCTTCTCCCAGAGTTTTAAGCGTGAGGACAGTGCCATGGTTTCACAGTAGGGAGAGGGTTAAGGGGAGTGAAGTGGCTGTGGAGGTGGAGGGTCACGCGTCTGTCAGCAAGATGTGATGGTGGCAATGTGCGTGTGCACAGAGGGAGAAGAACAATCTGACAAGAAAGAAAGAAAACTGAGGTAAATTAGATAATCTTCAGTAAAAGACAGTTATCACACACACACACACACCATCATGATCCACTTTTCCATTATTGACATACTTCACTGCCACTTTGTGTCTATTGAGACGTCATTATTTTTTAAGAAACTGTCTCGTCGTGCTCCTGCTCAGAGGTTCTGTTGTCAGTCAGCTCACACCTACTCTGTATGATGTGTTGGCCAAGTCAATCTTGTCATTATCCACCTTTTTTTGCAACACTGCATTGAAGCCAAGGGTCTGCTGTGATTAATAGGGTCATAAACACACATATTGTTAAAGCGTAAATCTGTGTTAAAAGTTTTACTAATCAGTAGCTACACTGTGAAAAAAGTTGTGCCTTCCTATTGCTCTTGGCCTCAAACACTATCCTGATGTCTTTTTGCGGTTCTGTTTTGTCATGACCCCATTTCCATCGGGTTGAGGTCTGGACTTTGACTGGGCCACAGCACTGATTCTTTCCTTTTTCAGCAGCTGTGCTCAGGATTATTGTTCTGTTGAGGACCCAGTTTCATTCAGGCTTTAGCTGTCGGACAGACGGCTTCACATTTGACTCTAGAACACTTTGGTATACAGAGCAGTTCATGTTCTGCTCAGTGACTGTAAGGTGCCCAAATCTTCATCGCTCCACCACCATGCTGGCAGTTGGTCTGAGATATTTGCTATGAACTTGTAGAGTCTGAGGTGGAGTTCTTGAGTTTTTTGCAGTTTCTCAGAGCATGGATGGTCTATGCTTGGGGTAAATTTGCTGGGGCGCCCACTCCTGGGAAGACTTTGGTATACAACATACATTCGAATGCGCCACAGAAACAAACTGTCAAAACCTCAGCTTTTACAAAAGTGCTCACACTTACTGCTGAACAGATAATCAAGTGTATTTGATTAGCACAGGGGTGGGCAACTCCAGCCCTCGAGGGCCGGTGTCCTGCACTTTTTAGATGTGTCCTTGATCCAACACAGCTGATATAAATGGCTAAACGACCTCCTCAACATGTCTTGAAGTTCTCTAGAGGCCTGGTAACGAACTAATCATTTGATTCAGGTTTGTTGACCCAGGGTGAGATCTAAAACCTGTAGGACACCGGCCCTCGAAGCCTGGAGTTGCCCACCCCTGGATTAGCAGGACCTGGATGCTAGCTAAACTCTTCATTCCTACAGCGGTAAAGGTGTATTTAGTTTCTTACAGTACTGCATTGATTGTGCACTGCTCACTGCCGATCATTAGAACTTTGTGTCAGTGTGGTCATCAGATTGTTCAAGGACCCAGATGCGTGTTTGTCTCTGTACAAAACTAAAAATCATCAGTCCAACTGATTTTCAACCTGTTGACTTTTTAAAAAGGTTCAAGGGGAGGAGGTTGAGAAGAGCGAAGCTAGATCACAACTAATCACCAATCCAGACTACCAACACAAGCTAACCCAAACATAACCCAAAATGTGGTCTAATTCCAAAGAGTAGTGGATGAAAATCATCCTGTTAAACATGGTTTCATCTGAAAGCAAAGTCAAACAAGTGTCAGAGGTCTCATGTTTGTTTTTTTCTCCGAACTTCCCCTCTAAGGAAGATCCAGCCTCAGAGGCAAGATAGAAAATCAGAAACATGTCTGTCATTATGTGCCATGTACCTCGCTCCAGTAGCCTTGTGGTGTGAATCATACAGTATGAGATCCTGCTCTCTGCCTGTAAGCAGCATACTAGGGGCAGGTTTAGTCAGTCCCTGTAAACAACTCAACAGCTAGTTTTAGATGGACCAGGCATTGTGCCAATCACATCAAAACTACCAACCAACTTTCTAAATGATTTTAAAACTGTCCTAAAAGTCTGTTTTGACATAGAAATGCATCCAACAGGTTCTCGGGTGGCATGCTAAATCTTTTCAACTGTAGGACCCTTGCTCGACAAGATGAATTTATGACCTCAACAGAAAACTTCTCCTGACAAGACACCAGAGACAGAAACATGCTTGACAATAAAAATCGAGCCAACAGTAAAAGCCAGTCCTCTGGTGAAGGAGACAGCAGCGTCTGAGCCAGTGTTATTTAAATGTAACAATGTCAAATCTCAGCCCGGCTGTATTACAGAAAGTAGGCCGCTGAAGCCCCGCTCTCTATAAACCAGCTCCAATCTATAAATAAAACCCATGACAGGAACTTTATAAGTGGACAGCGAACAGGATAGAACAAAACACAGCCATACCTTCCAAAACTGTAGAGAAGCAGCTAAAGGCTCCAGATGTTTAATGGCAAATCCAGCGAGCCAAAATGAGAGTCCCCCTGTCACACACTCACAGTCGCACAGACTGGGCAAGACTGACTGAGGGGGTATGCAGCACTAGTCAGAAATAGAGCGACACACAGACCAGCAGCATGGCTTCACTGACAGACGACTCCTCTATAAATATCTGGAGTCACAGGGTGGAGGAAGGGTCTCTAAACGACCCTGTTTGGAGACCTGCATGAGACACAAAGAAGCTTGTTGTCAGGTGAAGCCACTGCTTGTAACATGATCTGCTTTACTTTTTTCTTTTTAGCCATTCACCTGTCCTTCACCAGACGCCACAAGTACAGTAATCTGGATCTCCAGCACTGGGAAACGTTATCATCCTCTGCAAACATAGTAACAGCATGAAAACGTGTTTTTTTCTAAAGCTGTGTGAACACCAGGGGGAGGGGTATAATGAGTGCAGGCCGCAAATGCACATGTTCAGAGCTGCAGTGCATCAGCTGCTTGAGTTGATTGACAACTACAGCTGAAGAAGACTGAGCAGTGAGGAGAAGGCGCCTCCTGATGACTTTGGGGACGGTGTGGTACGAGCAACCCTCCTCTTAGACATGTTGTATGATTCTTTGCTAATAAAGCACATCTAGAGCACATCGCGCTGTGGTGACCAAAGCTCACTCATTCCTCCACATGTATCCCTTTCTAAACACGGTGCCCACAATAAATCCTGAACTTTGCTGATTCTGTGTTTTAAGTTTTGTATTTTTACTTATTGTTATCTATCGTGTATATTTCTCTATCCATTCACACTCGCCACCATACCAACACCAGGTTGGACTTCTTACCGTCAACACTGCCTTATCCTTCCGTGGAACAGATTCAACAAGTGGCTCGAAACATTCCTATCGGATTTGGGTCCACACTAACATGACATCACACAACCATTCCTAGCAGTGCTTTGTTGGACTGAGCTGGTGACTTCAGAGGAAATCGAGTACAGTGAACTCATCGCCATGTTAAAAAAAAAAGTTTGAGATGATCTGGTGTTCAATAAGTTCTGTTCCATTTCTAAAGTTACGTTCAAAGTAATTGTCAATCTGTAGGTAGCTGAGACTCCTTTTATATAGCACCAAATAAGAACAAAAGTTGCCTCATGGCTGCTTTTTCAAGGTGATATTCCTCCTTCAACCTCAAGTCTTTGTTTTCCCTTTCTTGTAGATATTATCGGTTCTTTTGTAATCCAGAATTAAAACGGATTAACCTATGATCATCCATTTAATATTCTCTTTTTAAAAACAGTTTCAACTGAATCTTGATACATTTTGCACATTACTTATTAATCTTTCCAGATTTCAAAGGCCAGTAGTGCCTGCACTGCGGGGCCACTCGTGGAAGTTTTTCTATCATGAGGATGGTAAAATGGTGACCCCTGGTGGTGACAGTTTGTTTTTATGGACATTAACAACATGGTCATGGTTTGCAGGGACTGTTGGTTTCTGGTTGAGTCCCGTCTTGCGCAGGTTCTTAGCTCATGTCAGGGTGTCCGACCCATCTGGGACTTCCCTCTTTCTGCATCAGTTCATTCGAATCATAACTCCGTCTCAGTTTGAAGAAGTCACTTGCATGAGTGATGAAACATTAGTCCCAATGAAAATGCGACGTACAGAATAAACATTTAGGGATTTCTTTGCTTGGATGATTGTGCATAAAGACACCTTTATCTGATATTCAACATTGTTTCATTCATTAATCTGAGTGTGACAGAGTTGCTGTTTTAAGCCTGAAACTGAACCTTAAGACTGAACATATATACATATATATTAATTCACACACACAAACACTTATTTTTTTGAGGGTCATGTAATTACAATAATAATTAGACACAAAAGCAAAAGTGACAGGAGGCAACACAGAAAAAGAATTTTTATTCATGAACTGTTTTTACAAGCAGTCCTAAACTTCCTACCTGTCTCAAAAACAAAATAATCATTGAAATAAAATAAATTTTATAATAATCAATGAATATTATCAATTACATATCAGTATTATGACCTTAATTTCAATAGCCCAAAGCCAGTAGTATTTGTGTTTGTCTGTGGCATCTGGAAAACAAAACAAACAAGGAGGAGAGTTTCTGACGGGCGGACACTGGAGGATTCTACAGTGAGCACTCGGCCGAGAGCTCGTCGGCGTGGAGGAGAGACAGCGCGAGAGAGCTCACCACACACGCAATAAATATCAAAGAGCAAAGAGTCCGGCATTGAAACAAAGATCATCATCTGAAACTCGCAGGTACAATATCTCTAATAAGTCTTTATGTGCAAGATTCGAGCTGAAGTCTTCACCACGAACAGTTATACTCACATCAAACCCCGCCCTCCCTTCAACAAATCCATTTTGTTTTCTACATTAAATCTTTTAAATAGACCTAGAGCATTTTGTCATTTCATATACACATATATATTTATATATACTTTGATTTTTTCCTTTTTCCTATACGCCATCCTTTTTAAATTGCCTTATACTGAGCGTGTCTGAGCAGAAAATCTGTGAGACGTCCAAATAAAAAGTCTACTGCTGAACATACAAAGCAATACCAAGGCTCACGTCCACTCTCTCTCTCACACACACACACACACTCACACACTCACACGACGTACACACAGTGTGAGGAAAACGTTCAGGAACGAGTATGCAGAGCTAGATGGTGTGAGTCTCAATGGCATCGTGGTGTGCAAGCCAGTGCGCGCACACACACCTACGGAAAAATGTTTGGTCACAGTTTTGTACCCTTCAGAGATTCCACCAAAACTCCCACATCAATGTTGTGTTTGTGAGAGTGTGAGTGTGTGTGTGTGTGTGTGTGCGCGTGTGACTGTACCAGACCTGGTAGTGAGAGGTGTGAAAAGTTGAGAAAAGGAGGCTTCCACTCGATCAGCAACAGTTATTTGGCACATTTAACATCTATTAAGTAACACATCGGGATAAAAAGGTGCAACAACAGAAATTTCAATAAAAACCATTTTGGTTTACAAAAATAAAAGACACCTGGAGAGGTGACACATTTTCTCTCTAAGACGATAACATCTGCCCCTGACTGGTAAAGGCTCCAAAGAAAAAGAATCACAGAGCACCCTAAACAAACCCTTTTTCCAACTCAAGTCACACATCACAGCTCTGGAAATGCATGGACATCACAGATGAAGACACTGTACTGGATGGAAAAGAAAACCCCTGAAGTAAACTGCTTTCTCTCCTCTGCTGCACACTACTCACACTACTGCCACTGCGCCACCCTCGCCTTGAACCCTGGTGAGGTTCCCCACCAAACTGTAAAAAGTCCAATAATTTAGACAAACCCATACACCTCATCTGAACTGTGTCACATTCAGGAAAAAATCATAACACCGTGAGAAGACAGACGAAAAGTCCACCCTGAAACACTGCAGTAGGTCCGCAGACAATGCTCGTGGACATAGCTTTCTTTAAGCTCAGCTATGGTCCTACTTGAGGAACGTAGACAGATGGCAGTGAGGGGGATCAGAACACTGTACTGGCTACAAACTGAGCATATATTTAAAGAGCAGTGGATTGGCTCACTTGTTGTGCTCATCTGTGTCCTCTGACGTGATGGATCTGATGTAGTGCAGCAGCTCTCTGACAGCAGACACATTTGGCCCAAATCCGGGCTGCTTCTAGGACTAAGGGCTCAGTCACAGCACAGGCGGTGGCTGTGCGGCCCAGCTGTGGGCAAAATGCCACGAGCCAGGCTGGCCATGAGCAGAATTTTGACCAAAGGCCGTGACAAACTTCACATCGGGCCCACCTGTAGCGGAGAATGAATGTGACAAAACTGAGGGCCGCCGCACTTCGGCTAAGTGTTCAGTGCAGTCCAGACTGAGCCTGTAGACTCATCGTGTGGAGTTTCTCAAAGACAAATGCGTTTGCATTCCCTGGGTGTAACCTCAACATGAGGCCTGGTGGTAAATCTGACAGGAGCCTGCTCAGGCTCAGAGCAGGCTCAGTATTTTACTGCACATCTAAAGAAAATAAGTCACAGATCATTCTGTTCTCGTTTATTCTGAACCTGCATTTATCTGCTCTCTGGAGAAATGTAGGCTAACACCAACTGGATAAAATGTGAACATTTCAACCACTTAAAAACCAAAAAAAGAAAAAGAAAATAAAAAAGCCTGAAATAGCATGAACATGAAAGCTCATATAGAAGATCTATGCATCTAACTGGGGTATTTGAGGGTGGATTTTTCCTTTAATCAGCTTCAGCTTATTGTCTTCATCCTCCTCCCTGCACACAGTCTGCCCACAACAGCTGACTGCTCCAAGCTGTTGCCCTGCATGGACAATGTGTGAGCGGGAACAGACTGCTGATTCTTGTGCTTTGCCTGGGAACAGGTTCTTACATTCTGATGTACTCATACTGGCACAGTCCAACTGAGGTAATGCAGCTCTGTGAGTGAGCCCCCAGCCCTCCTCTTGCCACCTCTGAAAGACCACAAGACAACAAAATCCTGTAAAGGCAGACAGAGGAGTTGCGATCAAGCTAACACACTGAAGTAAAACAGTGATGCGCAGACAAAAGGGTGCTTATATTGTCTTTATAGTCTTTGCCTCCCTCCTGCTCCTCTATAGTTACAGTGTTGTCCATGGTTACCAGTACATGTACGCCAATCTTCATGGCTACCATAGCAACCAGCTGCTGTTTGTCAGCCAATGGAATCTCAGTCTCTGTGGTGACTAGAGCCAATGTGAAGCTTCCTGTACTTGCGCTGGAATGATCAACAGCCTTCCACACATACACTGTGAGGGTCCGGGAGGTTGGGATGGCACGCCATCTGCCAGCAGAGCGGATCCTCCTGGGCGCTCAGGTGACTCAAGTAAAATATTAATGTTGGCACTTTTTGCACTTCAGTAACAGTGGGAGGAATGTTTCAGAGGGATGGATGAGGACAACCAGCCTTTGTTTTCTACATTCTGTGGTAGCCTGGTCTCTTCTGGACCTGAGCATCAGCTCTGTGGAGGAGTCCATCAGGCTGCTGAGAGCACACAGAGTGGGAGGACACTTCCTGATTAATGTGATTTCAACAGCGAGGTGTGTGGTGTGGGAGGTGGTTGAGGAGGGGCAAACAGAGAGAGGAGCAGCCGT